CTCAGAGTACATACACTCACCACATACTGAGTTACTCTTCCCAACTTGCCCCTCTCACATGCAGCCAACTGACAAATATTACAACCAGCAAATAAAGAATTTCTCATAAGAATCCTACTGTTGAAAAGAAAAAAGGCACAGAGTTTCTTTGAAAACTGCCACTTAAGTGTAAATAGTTCTCTAGAAGCTTCAGCAATTCTTAAGGGGAGAGGGGGAAAAGTAAAAGACAGAGAATTGAGGAAAGAAATAAGAGCAGGATGAGAAGGGGCCAAAATCTATGACGCACATGCTTATATTCCTTTCTGAAATATTTTAATGAGGGCTTCACATTTTTAATTTTACCACTTAATTCATCTTTTTTACCAAACTTAATCAGACATTAGCCTTCCTTCCCAAAGCACTTTTTATATACAACGAAGAATAAAGTATGCTTCATATTAACTTCAGACCTCCTCAGAAAAAACATTAGTAAAAGAACTATAAATATACCAGCCCCTACTACAATACAATGGAACAGTGATATGCACTTAAAATTTCCATAAAGCAGTAATACTTCTGAAGGTTCTAATTTGTTGTTAGTTTTACAGTATAAGAATATTTTTCAACTTAAGATCAGTTATGATATTTGTAACTTAGGAACATGGGGCAGTCCATTAACAGTGAGTTACACAGTCTTCATAGTTCCCATTTCTAAAGTGTAAACAAGTACAATTATTTTTTTAAAAAAACACGGAACTCCTTTACAAGTGTGACAAGTCATCTTAGATGAGGAAAGTTCTGCAGTGGGACATATGGGGAAGAAGGTTAATGTATGCTAAAACATTACAGTCTCTTCCAAATAATATGATTTCCCCAAAAAAGAAAACTTAACCTTTATTAAACATTATGTATCCTGTGCTGGCTCCTTTCCATTCCCCCAAAATGTCTTTCAGATAGAGCTCTTTCCTGAGCTCTCTGTCTTAAACTACCCAGGACTCCAAATACCTCACAAATTTGTATTTATCTTGTGTGATTAACATTAATGTCTGCTCTACAGAAACCAGTATGGAGGTCCCTCAGAAAACCAGAAATAGAACTAGCATATGAACCAGCAATTCCACTTCTGGGTATTTATACAAAAGAAATGAAAACTCTAACTTGAAAAAATACCTGCACCCCCATGCTCACTGCAGTGTTATTTACAATAGCCAATACATGGAAGCAACTTCCACTTGTCTACTGATGGATGAATGGGTCAAGAAAACGTGGTATACAGCTGTCCATCAGGATCCAGGGGGAACTGGTTCCAGGACCAGCCGAGGAAGGACACCAAAATCCCCAGATGCTCAAGTCTCCTAGTTAACTCTCTGTATATTTTTTTTGGGGGGCTCCAAAGTCACTGCAGATGGTGATTACAGCCATAAAATTAAAAGACACTTGCTCCTTGGAAGGAAAGTTATGACCAACCTAGACAGCATATTAAAAAGCAGAGACATTATTTTGTCAACAAAGGTCCATCTAGTCAAGGCTATGGTTTTTCCAGTGATCATGTATGGATGTGAGAGTTGGACTATAAAGAAAGCTGAGTGCCAAAGAATTGATGCTTTTGAACTATGGTGCTGGAGAAGACTCTTGAGAGTCCCTTGGACTGAAAGGAGATCAAACTAGTTAATCCTAAAAGGAAACCGGTCCTAAATATTCATTGGAAGAACTGATGCTGAAGCTGAAACTGAAACTGCAATACTTTGGCCACCTGATGCAAAGAACTAACTCATTTGAAAAGACCCTGATGCTGGGAAAAATTGAGGGCAGGAGGAGAAGGGGATGACAGAGGATGAGATGGTTGGATGGCATTACCAACTCAATGAACATGAGTTTGGGTAAACTCCAGGAGTTGGCGATGGACAGGGAGGCCTGGCATGCTGCAGTTCATGCAGTCTCAAAGAGTCGGACACGACTGAGTGGCTGAACTGAACACCTCTCAGGTCAACCAATCTTGGATCATGTAGTACTCCACGTACTTATGGGAAAAAATTCTGCATGTAAGTGGACTTGTGCAGTTAAACCCATGTTGTTTAAGGGTCAACCGTGTGTGTATATGTGTGTGTGTACACTCACATAGTGGAATATTACTTAGCCATAAAAGAGAAAATTCTGCCATTCGTGACAGCATGGATGGACTTAAAGGGCATTTTGCCAAGTGAAGTAAGTTAGAGACAGAAAAATATTACATGTTCTCACTTATATGTGTAATAGTAAGAGAAACTCTTAAAAAAGAAAAAACCCTCACAGATACAGAAAGCATATTGGTGGTTGCCAGAGGTGAGGGAAGGAAGGGGAAGGGGGCAGTGAAGGCAGTGCCAGTGGGAAGAGGGGGGAATGGGTGAAGGTGACCAAAAGGTACAAACCTCCATCTGTAACAAATTAGGGTGTACTCATATGATAGAATAGGGAGCAGCAAACAGAAATGAACTATTACCAATACAGCAAACATTAATCCCACACACAATAATACTGTGATGAACAAAAGAAGCCAGATCCCTAAGGGAACATGTCCTTCGATGCCGTTGACAAGAAGTTCTGGAACAGACAAAAGTAATCTACAGGGGAAGAAATCAGAGCCTTGGTTGACTCTGGGGAGAGGAGAGGATGCGGGATTGATTGTCATGGGGCACGGGGGAAGTACTCCATATCTTGGTAACAATGTGGGTTACATGAAAACATGCATCTGTTAAAACTCACAGAACTCTAACCCTTCTGAGCTGCACATTTCACTACGTGGGGATGATATTTCCATCAAATAACCTAAAGCTCAGGAGATAATTAGACGATATTATTTTGATGAAATGAAAATTAAACCTGAAAACAAATAAAGTAATAAAATGGGGTAAATTCAGGGACTTCTCTGATGGTCCACTGGTTAAGACTTTCCTTTTCAATGCAACAGGTTCGGGTTCAATCCCTGGTCAGGGAGCTAGTAATACCCCACAAGCCTCATGGCCAAGTAACCAAAACATAAAACAGAAACAAGATAGTAACAAATTCAATGAAGACTTTAAAATGGTCCACGTCCAAAAAATAAAATAAAATCTTTTGGGTTTCCCTGGTGGCTCAGTGGTAAAGAATTCACCTGCCAAAGCAAGAGACGGGTTCAATCCCTGATCCGTAAGGATCCCACATACCACAGAGCAACTGAGCTCATTTGCCTCAACTACTGAAGCCCGCGTGCCCAACAGTGTGCTCCCCCACAATGAGATGTCACTGCAGTGAGAAGCCTGAACATCACAACGAAGAGAAGGAGCCCCTGCTCACTGCAACAAGAGAAGGTCCGAGCATCAACGAAGACCCAGCACAGCCAGAAACAAAAATACATAAAATTACATTTTTTCATCTTAAAAAATAAACAAAATTGGGCAAATCCATTTCACTCTTCCACTCAAGGAGTGTAAACTCAAGATTATGGGTGCAATGGAAGCTGCAATTCTGTCTTCATTGCCACTTTTCCATGCAACGTGCTTCTGAAATCAGTAATTACCTACCCCTGTCCCTTTCTGGCCCATGAACTAAAGCCAACTTCATCATCCAGAACCTACAGAAATATTGAGATCTGTTCCAAGAGATCTGCTAGCTGTGTTAGTAGAACTCTCTGTCTCCAACAGAGCTCTTTCCAGGAAGACTGTCAGGGATAAGGCTGAATGTATGATTTCTGCCTCATATAGTGACTTTAGAAACTAACAGAGGATAAGCTATAAGTCCATAGTAATTTTTCCTATGTGAGTTGGTAAGTAATATACTCTAGATTCAAATATATAACTGAATTCCAATCATGTGATTCTTAGCACTCTGGTTATAATTAAATGTACTGCCTGTAGTTAAGTATTTTAAAATTCTCCCTAATCCTTTCTCTTCCCTCCCCCTCCCGAAAAAACATGAACTATTTATAAAACTTTCTGTCTCTTCATTTGGTTTTACTTATCTGGACTCCTAAGCCATGCATGGTAAATTTCAGACCTATAATTTGTGGCTTCCTGCTTCCAAGATTTCTCCAGAGTCATTCTCATGTGACTGTTTTTCTAGTTAAATATTTACACATATACATGGGGTACACAGGCAGTTCATATTTGACATGATTTAACAGCATCTACATCTGTTTCTCATCATAACATGACTGGAAAATGTGCCTGCTAAACATTTTTAAAATACATTTGTGCAAGACATTGTTTCTAATCTCATCTTGAGACATTTCTGCATAAAGAAAACAGAAATAAGATGTCCTGTCTCTGATTCCTTAATTCCCTTCCTCTGGCTTCAGGGTCCTCTCTTGCTACCAATCATTATGTCCCAAGCTTAATCAAAGTATGCATCATGTCTTTTTTTAATCAGTTAGTGAGAAGCACAAAATTAAGTTGAGATATGAAGGCAAAAATATCTTATTTAAGTTAAAAAGCCCGCCAAACAACAACTGGCTTCAGTGCTAACCTCAAGATTAGCGAGACTTCATCTGAATAAAGCTGCTGATGATTCAAACGTGTCTGAAGCCTGTTTCATGTTCCCAGTGCACAACGTCGAGCATGAGTTTTCCAAATTAAAGAAAAAAAAGGTGAGAGAAAATTCTTGGCTTTCAAGAGGCAATCATTCCCAGGTCCCCAAAATTTCAAATCACAACACAAACATGTCTCCTAATTCTTCCCTGCTTTATTTTTAAAAGTCAAACATATTTTAAGTTCATACACTTTTCCAGAAATATAAGGTACAGTTAAATCATGACAGCATACTCTTTAGAACACTAAGTTAGAATAAATTGATCCTCTCTGATTATCATTCTATTGTTTTGTGTTTTAATCCAGAAATATTTCTCACTTTTATTCATGTATTATCATAAGCAATAACAAAGCAAAATAGAAAAGACTGAAAGCAAAGACTCTTGAGTGCATTATAAATCCTGGAAGCAAACATCAGTTCATATGTAGTCAAGAAGCAAAAATAAAAAGAATAGCTGCTTTCGACGATTTGGGACTTACATTTCCAAACTGTGTCTAACTAAAGATCTTGAGGTTTTGTTTTTTTTTCTTTTCTTTTCCATGATTATCTTTTGGCCATTTCATAACTCATTTCACTCTGGAAAGAAAGTGATTGAATAAAAAAAAGGAGATTTAAAAAAGAGAGAGAGATGAGACTAAAATGAGTATAATTGACCTCAATAGCCCAGAGGAAAAGCTTTATTTTCAAGAAGCCTGGAACATCCAGCTTAATAAAACTTTTGGTGCATCTGAGAATTTAAATAATCCTTAATATTCTTAATTCCTGTCACATTGATTAAAAAGTGTAACAGTAGACATGCTATTTTTAGACATTCTGTTAAGAAATATTATGAAAAGTTGCTCAAATCCAGAAACCACACTATATACTCAGAGAAGCACCTCTTAGGATATACTTCCTCAAACAAACAAATATACATATTTACATAATATATGTTAATAAAATAATACACGTAAAACACATATATGTAAGTGTTGGCTTTGGTTTGGCATTCCAACACTTTAAATATCTATGCTAGCTTTAGAAGAAGGTAAAGAATTACAATATGTGAATAGATAAAACCTACAGATGATCCAACTTTTTTATCCATGAACTTTCATTACATACTAGATAAATATTTCAGGAAAAAAGATACTACATATATTTCATTTTTTTTAACTTTTGGAGAATTAAAACATTATGAGGATCAAAACGACCCAAGAAGCCTTTTAAAACCTTCCAGAAAGTAGAGAAGGGAATATTTCCCAACTCTTTTAAAGAAGGCAGCAGAACTCAGATATAAAAAACTAACAGAGACATTTATAAGAAAAGAAAATTGTAGACCAGTACCCCTCATAAACACAGATGTAAAAATTCTGGCAAGTTGAATTCAGTTACATATAGAAAGTATATTATATTATGACTGTGGGAAGTTTATTCCAGGCTCAACAACTGAAAAGCAATCAATATATATCACCATATAAACAGAATAATAGGAGAAAATCTCATGATCATCTCAATAGATGCAGAAAGTGTATGCATCAAAAACTCAGGCTCACATTGTGAAAAGATCAGGAACAAGGTGAGGGTAGAAACACTCTCACCACTTCTACTCACCATTGTACTCAAGAAGCTACCCAATTCAATGCAGTAAGAAAAAAATTTTAAACAAATTCTACAGAATGGAAGGGAAGAAGAAAAACTCTTCCTTTGCAGATGGCATGAACATTTTGAAAGGAAATCCTATGGAAATTAAAACAAACAAAAAAGCTCTTAGAACTATCTGAATCATCAAAGGGTGGGGTAGAAGGTAAATATAAAGTATAAATTTTGTATCTATGTTCTAACAATAAAAACTGGAAATGGAAATAAATTATAAACTAATGCCATTTATAATAGCATCAAAAAATATAAAATGGGGGGGTAAGATTGGTTCAATATGGCAGAGTAGAAGGACGTGCACTCAAAATAGGGATAAATCTAACAAAAGATGTGAAAGACTTAACAATAAAATGCAAAAACTATTGCAAGGAGAATTAAAGATCTAAAGAAATGGAAAGATATACCTTANCCTGTTAAAAACATCTTAGTTTATTCCAAGTTTTGGCAATTGTGAATAAAGTTGCTATAAACATGCATTCAGGTTTTTATATGGATGTAAGTTTTCAACTCCTTCGGGTAAAATCCAAGGAGTGCAACTGAAGGATAATATGGTAAGAATATTTTAGTTTGGCAAGACACTGACAAACTGACTTCCAAAAATGGCTGTACATATTTTGCATTCTCATCAGCAATGTATGAGAATTCCTATTGCTCCACATCCTCACAGGCATTTGGTATTGGCAGCGTTTATGGTTTTTGACCATTTAGACGGATGTGTAGACGTATCTCCTTGTTTAAATTTGCATTTCTCCATCAAGATAAGATGTTGAGTATCTTCATACACATTTGTCATCTGTATCTTTGGTAAGGTATATGTTCAGATATTTTGCTCATTTTTTAATCACATTGTTTTCTACTTGTTGAATTTTAAGAGTTCCTTGTGTATTTTGGGTTACAGTATTTTATCAGATATGCCTTTTGCAAATATTTTCCCCAAGTCTGTGGCTTGTCTTATTCTCTGACAATGATTATATTTTAATGTCACTCATTTGATACTGATTATGTCTTCGGCCTGCTAAATCTAGCTAGGTGTATATAGAAAAATGAATAAGATAAAAATCAATATATTACCAGAAATACAAAATAACAAAATATGCTAAGATGTACTGTTTTCTAAGAAATAGCTTCTATTCACATATATACTGAAGAAAGATGAGAAATCCAGCTAGACTCTTAGAAAATCAGTGCAATTTGTTAGTAAGTCAGACTTTTCAGGTAACTGTAGGCATCCCCAGAATCATGGAGCACAAAGTAACAGAAATATAGAAAGCATGGAAATGGAATTATACAATACTGTTTGATATTTTGTCCCCTGCAATCATCCTATTTGGCATGTAAAAATTATGAAAAAAAATTTCCTAATTTCTTTCTAATGAAGATGATTGTTTTATTTTACTTTTGGGGGGAAATACAGGAAATCAGTTTAAATAAACATCTTTGTTAATTCTTATTTATGTACTGAAATTGTTAGAGAAAAGAAATAAACATTTCCAGTCTTAGATATGGTCAATAATGTCAAAATCTTGCTTATCGGGTCATCTTCCTCACTGTTCACCATATACTTTTATGTGTTGGGCATTTTCCATAATAATAAAGTTAGTTTTTTTTAAATAAATGTTTGGGACTTCCCTGGTGGCTCAGATGGTAAAGAATCTACCTACAATGCAGGAGACCTGGGTTTGATCCCTGAGTAATGAAGATCCCTGGAGAAAGGAATGGCTACCCAGTCCAGTATTCTTGCCTGGAGATTTCCATGGACAGGGGAACCTGGAGGGCTAAAGTCCATGGGGTCACAAAGTCCATATGCTAAAATTTAGCAATATGGCTTAGTCAACTGACTAGCTGTGTGGAAAACATCTTAAAAAGCTGTTTCACCAATGTAACTTTCAGGTGAATAAAAATTTTGAATGCATAAAATAAAAGAACAAAACTATTAAAAGTAGGTATAGGAGAATGTATTTCCTTCTGGAGATGAGAAAGTTTTTCTAAACAATACACAAAACCCAGATTCCAAAAAGATGAGTGAATGTGATGACATAAAAGTTTTTTTCTGCACAGAAAAAAATACCATGCAAAGTCAAAGGACAAATGATCAACTGGGAAAAATATTTCAACACATATGACAATGAGCTCATTTTCTTAATGTAAAAAGACCTCTTACAAATCAGTTATAAAAGACCATTAAGCCAATAGAAAAATTAAAAAAGAACTTAGAGGCACTTCATAGAAAACAAACACAAAAGTTTTGCAACAAATGAAAAGACAGTCAACTTCAATCATAAAGAAATGAAAAGCAAAATTGAAATGTTATATGAATGCTCATTTATTGGAAAGCAATTCTTAAAATATACATCATTAAGAGTATTTAAGGGAAAAAATTTAAGATGTAGCATGATCTATATAGTACACCTCTACCCATGTTAAATAACTAAATATGTATCTACATGCATATCTATATGTACACATATATGCCTTATGCTTAAATACATTCCATATGTATTGAAATACATCTGTATGTTCTATATGCATAGAATTTTCTAGAAGAACATTGTATAAACTGGTGACAGTGGTTGTTTTTATACTGGAAGCCTGGAAATCTTGTGTGAGTAGTAAATATAACTTTCCATCCTGTGTGCTTTATATAAAGTCTAAATTTTTAAATGGATGTCTGTATTACCTTTTCGATGAAAAAATAACTAGTTGATTTTAAAAAAGCTAAATTAATACGTTCAACAGATATTTCTTTGTGTCAATCACTGTTGAAATGCTAAGAATATAGGTGATGGAAAACCAACATAAACCTCTGTCCCCAGCTATAACATGTTCCCGAGGGAAGAACCATAAAAGTCTCTAATGAATTCTGTTCAGTCTAGTTATTTTTTGACAGCAACTTGACAAATGTTTTCTTTGGCTATGTGCCCTTCTCAATGTAAGGGAATACATTGAGTCTTACATACAATAGTAACTATAGAAACGCATTCTGTGGAACTGACACAATTGTCATCATCATAATTTGGATAGGCTTTGTCAAGTTAGAAGAAGCAAGAAGAGATACAGGATTCATATCTCCATGTGTATTTATACCATTTTAGAACTTCCTTGTGGAGAAGGAAATGGCAACCCACTCCAGTATTCTTGCCTGAAGAATCCCAGGGACAGAGGAGCCTGGTGGTCCCCATAGATGTATGGGGTCACACAGAGTTGGACACGACTGAAGCGACTCAACAGCAGCAGGAAAACTTCATTGTCCTTGCAGGAAAACATTTCTAACCTCTATGCCTTTGTTTTACAATTTATCTATTGAGAGTTTAGAAGCCTCTCACTCCCTTATTGCTTATTATTCATTATTTTAGAATTCAAACCTAAATTATGTCACAAAGATTCAGGACAAAAAGCATCTCAAAGACTTTTACTGTCATTCATACACATAAAATTTTCACCAGTGGCCTAAGTTTCCATTTCCATTGCATCTCTGTGTCTTTTTCTCTAGATATAGAACAACTATACCAACAAAATGTAAAATTATAGCTGTTAAGAATTTGCTTCACTTATTAAAAATGTATATTTTAGTTAAGGGATGGAGTGAGCTAAAGACCAATATCCTAAAATACAGTGGATGAGGACAAGGCTTGCTCAGTGTTTGGTCGTAAAAGGATTTCTTGGCCAATAAACTGGAAAAAGCTGCTTATTAAGTTTCCCCACAATTAAAAATTTTCCCCATGTTGGAGATTAACAGCACCTGTTAGCATATTAGTCCCCTAAAAAAATTCTTCAAGGAAGAAGTATGCTTCACTCTGAGCCTCTGTTTGTTTCTTCCTTCTCTATGCTAATTAATAGATTTCCTGCCATCAGAGGAAATTATCATCTGTGCTCAAAGCAGGACAAGTTTCCATTTTTAACCTTTGCTTTCCTCTCAGCAAACTCTAGCA